TATCACCCTATTAGAGCACTTCGCTCTCGCTCTGCAGGCCTACTTGTTGTTCCTAGAGTATTTAAAAGTAGAATGGGAGGCAGAGCCTTCAGTTTTCAGGTCATATGATTGTTGGGTTTTTCTCTGTATCTACTGTACAATATAAAGCGCCTTGAGGCGACTGTTGTTGACTGTTGTTCTTACCAGAGTAAGAATCTGGTTAGATACCATATTTCTAAGATTTTCAGATTAAAATCTGGTTGGCTGATGCCTGACAACACAGGAGGGAAATGTCATTGTAGGATTAGTAGAGCTTTATCCCTCCCTTCCTAAATTATATAGCTTTTGGCATTATAACTAATACTTTAAATGAAATGATTTTTTTTTTACTCATGATACATCAATGTTGTTAGTTCAACTTACAGTCCTTGATGTCATAGCTGCTATCTTCTGGTTTTTGGAAATCCTCTGCAAAAACATAAAGAACTCAAGTTATCCTTCAACACTTAAATGTGGGAAATCTCTTGGTGTTACAGGAATGTGTCATGAGGTCTCTACTTCTGATATGCCAAGTAATTAGTGTAATTGACTGAAAACAATTCATACCATCTCAATTAAGTTTAAAGATTGGACCCTGAGTTGGTGAGAAAAGACTAGAAGCAGAGATTTTATCCCAAGTTGTTTTTGGTTGTTTCATGTTTCGTATCAACTTGACCCCAATTTTAAAAAGTTCTGATCATCTTCAAAGATGGAGCAATATTCCACATATAACATCTTTTTTCTGCACATCCCAGTATCACTAACAATACCATGAATCTATTTCTTGTTCCTAAGTGGTCACTGGAGAAACTAAAGAAATCCGAATTTGGATTCCAAAACAAACCAAGAAAGTATCTCAGCAGATCACTGTCTCTGAGTGAAGTATTTACAAGCATGACTTCCTTAATCCAGCTTCTTTGTGTTTCTTGTTGTGGGCAAGAAGCCATTTTGTCAGGGGTTTTTGTTATCCTGCTTTCTTTTCGTACTTCGTGTGGGTGGACTAATTATACAATTCACCCTGGAGTGTGTGTCTGTGATAATCCACCTGTTCCTGATTGCCTGGTGGATCAGGGAGCCATTTAAGGTGCCTTCAAGCAGCTTTCAGTTATTTATTTTTTATTTACATTCATTCTTTCAGCAAGTGAAGCGACTGGAAATGAACGAGTAACTATATTGGCAGAACAGGGCGACATGTACTGTGAGCATGTTGGATATGTTTATCAGCCAACGTTGCTTCTAAAACCAGCAGCACAGTGTGATCATGGCAGTTGGATCCTGCTCCACCCTGCTGCTGCACCTGTTTGTTGTGTGCTTTCACTTCCAATACCTGAACAGATGTTACAGTTACTCTCTAAATCTACTCTCTGTGACATATATGTACAGAGTGAGTGCAAAGTCCTCACTGCTGATCAATAACATATGAGTGGACTCACCAGCTGTTTTGGTTGCCATGATGTCGATTTTCTGAAAAGACCTGGGGATGAACTGGAAGGAAAAAAAAAAGTATTTTAGGTTCTTTGAATCACACGACATGTGATGGTAGGTGGACAAAGGGGCTGTAAGCATGAATGGTTCGAATGGAACGGCACAAAAAAGGGAGAAGTTGTTATTGTGATGTTGGTCGTTTTATCCAGTACTTCAGTTGGTCTCCGGTTGGTCACCATGTAGAGAATGTTTTATACAAACTGGGGGTCAAGTGCAACCAATTACATTTAGACCATTAAGACATCATGAGTAACTGCAGAAAGAAGGTTTACATCTTTCACTTTCAATTTTCAAAGAAATTAAAGTCTTTGTATAGACTGATCAACCAGATTTATCCTGAGCAAAAGATTGAAGAATCAGGGGACCTCAGTCTGAACACATGTAAAGTGTTTTATACACATGGATGATTTATTTCACATTCTCAACCTCAGAGATCATTTATGCTTTCAGGAGGCCTACTGTGCACAAGAAGATATTACTTGAATGAGTTTTAATTAAAGAATATTATGATGGATCCATTTGATCCACTCATGTGTGCTGCATTCAAGTGCATAATTGGACTAAGATTATTCCAAACAGTCGGACAGAAACGACCAACTATAGACCACATCACCTGGATCATAATCACATTCACATCT